ATACTTTTCTCCGTAGCCATGGCGCGATAGTGCAGAATCCAGAGCCCCAAAACGTGGGGGCAGTTCAGCGAAGGGACCAAGACGCAAGATAATCGAGATAGGGGTGGATCAGGCCACACAATCAACGGAAATTAGATAATGCGCACAGCGTCGACGTGAGGAGCCGAGCGCCCCTTTATCGGGCGGGAGGCGCAAATTGGCGTCGCCTTGGAGATATCTTATCACGAGCAGGGCAGCGCCATGATAAGCTCAGTTAGTCCCATCCCTACTCCCTACCTACTAGTAGGCAGTTATCTTCCATGCGGTTGCGACTTCGGGAGCCATTCAACCGACTAGTTAGTTACCGGGCACCGAAACTGGGACTCGACAAGTGTCCCACGCGAATGACGGGGTGGTCATCGCACAACTTGGGTCCGGTATATGGAGTACGCACTAGACGGGGCCAAGGTTAATGTATCTCGTGGTGAAGGGATAATAATAGCCAAACCTCACTATTCTGGCCGTGTGCCGACGCGGATACCGGTCCGAAACAGAGAGATAGGGTAAACGCCACTAGTCTGGCTCATGCAGATAAGACATGCGTACATACACACATACATGCAGCACACCAGTGCTTGTCCGTCCAGCCGCTCTGAAATACGGCCGACGTCCCGTCTTGTCACTTTACCAAGGTACCGATTTCGACGGCACCTAGAATCGACATCTGTCTTGACTCCTCACGCCCTGGGCCGCTAGTCCGGTGCAGAGTTGCATTCCGTTGACGAGTCCTCGCCTCTTTGCATGTCGCGAGACCATAGTAGTAACCAGGCCTTCCCTTCTCATTCGCCCCTGGTCACATCTTTGTCGCCACCCGTCGGGAGGAGAAACGCTGCAAATAAATAATTGCTCTCTTCTGGATTTCGACCCCCAAGGCAACATGTCGCTGTCTTACCGGATAAAGAGCATGGCGGATAGACTCGCAGTGGAGTCTGAGGATGGGCTGACGCCGTCCCAACGTATGGTATGCAGAATGCTTCCTCTCTCGTTAGTTGAATCTGACTTTGTTTGCCTCCTAAATCGCACAGCTCATCAACCATGACTTGAAACCCGTCGAGAAGGCTCGTCGACAGTGGGGGCCCTGGAATTACGTGGGATTTTGGATCGCTGATTCGTACAACATCAACACCTGGATGATCTCGTCGTCAATGGTTATCGGAGGGCTATCCTGGTGGCAGGCCTGGATTTGTGTTTGGGTTGGCTATTCGATTTCAGCCTGCTTCGTAGTGATGAATGGTCGTATCGGAGCCATGTATCACATTGGCTTTCCTGTTGCGAATCGAGCATCCTTTGGCATTTGGGGTAGTTTGTGGCCAGTCTTTAACCGTGCCGCCATGGGTAAGTGTGTGTGACTTGACAGTTTTGTCTGACCCAATAAATGCTGCCTGCCTCGCACTGACCGGAATATATTGTCCAGCATGCATCTGGTATGGAGTTCAAGCCTACATCGGAGGCAACTGCGTGTATCTCATGATTCGTTCAATCTGGAAATCATGGGATCGCACCAAGATGCCTGGTCCTTTTGAGCCGGGGGTGTCGAGCACGCCAGATTTTGTATCGTTCTTTATTTTCTGGCTTTGCTCCCTCCCTGCCATCTGGTTCCCCGTCCACAAGATTCGACACTTGTTTACCGTCAAGGCGTATTTCGTCCCACCAGCGGGCATTGCCTTTTTGATCTGGGCCATCGTGCGCGCTGGAGGGGTCGGCCCTATTGTTAAAAAGTCAAACACGATACACGGCGGTGACCTGGCTTGGGAAATAGTCAAAGGCATCATGTCGTCAATTGCCAATTTTGCCACTCTCATCATCAATGACTGCGACTTTACGAGATTTGCTCGCAAGCCAAATGATGCTGTTTGGTCCCAGCTGTTTGCAATCCCACTTGGATTTGCCTTTACGTCCTTGATCGGCATCTTCGTGTCGTCTTCGTCTAGTGTTATCTATGATGAGCCTATCTGGAACCCTTTAAGCTTGTTGGGTAACTTTATAGACGATGGCGGCGCAGCGCAGCGATTCGGTGTTTTTGTCATCTCCTTAGCATTCGCTGTCGCCCAACTTGGTACCAACATCTCCGCCAACTCAGTCTCTGCGGGTTCTGATATGACAGCTCTGCTTCCTCGATATATCAACATTCGGCGTGGGGGATACATCTGTGCTGCTGTTGGCTTAGCCATGTGTCCGTATAACTTACTTACCAGCGCTAACAACTTCACCACCTATCTTTCGGCATATAGCGTTTTCCTTAGCTCTATTGCCGGCGTCATGTCCACTGACTACTATATTGTCAGGAAGGGATATTTGAACGTCAAGGAACTCTATGATGCACGCAAGACCGGCCCGTATTTTTACACATTCGGTGTAAATTGGCGGGGTTACACGGCATATATTTCTGGAATTCTCATCAACGTTATTGGATTTGCTGGCGCCGTAGGTCAACAGGTGCCAAAAAGGGCGACATACATATACAACCTCAACTTCTTCTGCGGTTTCATTGTTTTATCCTTGACGTACTGGGGTCTCTGTAAAATCTCCCCAGTGCCAGAAACAAGTGAGAAGTGGCTGGAGGTTGGGGGCGCGATTGATGATTTGCAGGTTGCATATGATGATGCTACGAATGACGAATATGACGAGGAGAAGGTGACTGCTGTGCCGGGAAAAGATGGGAGTCGGGCAAGAGGTTCAGCTTTCTGAAAGGATTTTGAATAGACCCATCAGAAAAAATAAAAGGCAATTATGAGACCGCCATGACGGACTGGTTGGTATGACGGGGTAACCAACGCCTTTGCCCATTGATGCGGTGCGTTCGCTGGCATTTTTGGACAGCATCCATCATCCTCCTGACATTAAAACCATAAAAATGGAGCAGAATCAGCCAAAACCAGTCAGAAAATCAAAAAGGAAGGAACTAAATCCCACAAAAAAGGAGGAACACCCTGCCCCGTACTGGAATCGAACCAGTGATCTTATCATTACTAGTGATACGCTTTACCACTGAGCCAACGGGGCTCTTAATTTGGAGTCTCATCTCCTTATTCAGAATTATGAAGGATAGAGTTCCATAAGGCAACAACCACGCCGATAAGAACACACCGGGAGCAGCCGCTTTCAGTCACTCCTAACATTTCCCCTTCCATACCCTCCGCTTCACTTTCATGTTTTTGTTTTATCCCCGTCGTTTCTTGTGAAACTCCTTATGTGGTGCGACCACTTCGACAATTTCGGCCCATGTAGTCTTCAAATCGCGGACTTGTTGTGCTGATTCCATCCGAGGACCGGAGCGCCTGTCCTGAGAGATCCTCTAGAAAGGAGACACCGACTGGATTAATAGGTCCATCTAGCAATATTAGTCTCTGCTAAAAGACATATTGATGTATCGCCAAGCGTTTGCTAACTCATTACTACAGCATCCACCCAACGTTGTCCGTCATGTGCAGGTACCGCATCATGATCAAAGACATCTCTACCTTGCGGTACTCCGTATAGTCGCCCGTTATGAGCGTGTCATACCCACCAGGCATGATGAGTCTGAATACAGTGGACTCATGCAAGACTAGATTCCTCTGAGGCTCATGGTGTATCGCGGCCCATTCGTCGTGCGTCACTGCGTTTATTATCTTTTCACAAAAGACCAACTATCAGTTTGGGAGAGGAGCCAGCTATCATGGATAACAGCAATATCACCAAAGTGCTTGTTAGATGGAGTCACTGGGTACAGTATTGGCGGTGTGAGCCTGGTAAATATCGTGAACAGCTTCCATTGTAAGTGCTCATCCCATGGTCCCACGACAACATCCCCAGTCTTGATTTGGGCCCTCTGGTCCAGCCCCACCGTATGGAGAGGTCATAGAGCAGAAAGAAGCAAATACTCGATGCTAACTCAAGAATGAACAACCTGTTTTACGAAAATATGGTGTTGGTCGCTGTGTAGTAGGGGGGCGAACGTAGCGCTAAGCTGGGCACGGCCTCAACGAGTCAACATGCAGACAAGCAAAGCCGCAGACGGACAGGATGGCTGCCGGCAGACACTTGACCGGCTTCTATGTTCTGACTACTACTTACTGACCATCTCGAATTGTGCATCGAGGCCCCCGTTTACATTTTTGTTTGTTGGTCAACGCCTCCACCCCCTTGTTGTTACCGAAAAGAGGCCCCATTTCACCCGCCTCGATGGGCCCGTTGGATAGAAGAGTTCAGGATCACACACTTGCTGAAGTTTACTGGCTTCCCAGGTCCTGGCCAGGCAGCGCTCGAGCATATACTTTGCCTTCCCATTTTCGGCCTTGTTCCGGATGTAGACGACTGATGCAGGTCTCGCCAGACACTGGGACACACGGTCTGTCTGTTCTCTACTCTACGAACACTTGAGGCGGTTTGATTCATTGGACCTGGAGCGAGTGCAATTTATCTGGTGGGCCAAACCGATCGCGCCTCGCCCTAGTCGTGGTTGTGGTCGTGGTCGTGGTCGTGGTCGTTGGCCTGGCCTCGATCTGTCCTGCTCACATGGTTGAAGCCACTCGTTTGCTCCCCCACCGCCGCCACGACATTAAGCTCATCAGTTAATAAGCAGAGAGTGGCAACACAAATTCTTTGTTGCTTCCCAACCCGTTTACTCCAGACAGGCATTACCATCACCATGACCTGCGAGACCAAATGAACTGCAGCCCTGCTGCCTGAACCTGCCCTTCCAAACCTCTCCCCGCCACGGTTTCGGCATCATCCATCCTGGCTAAGCCAAACACAATCACCAAGGCCCCGGTTGAAGCACTCAGCTTGGAGGGATATACGGGCTGCTCGCTCGCCTCGTCAGAGTTGTCATTTCTGGTTTCGCCTTGTGTCAACCAGACCCGGCCGAGATTCCGGAGGTAGGAGTACACACAGCAGCAGCGGATGCCCAACAACAGTACCATCAAGCCGTGTCACAACTGTCGCCGCCGACGCCTGCGCTGTGATCGCTCGTGGCCAACATGCAACAAATGCGCGTTGTCGGGCCAGGAGTGTCTTGGTTATGGAAAGGTATTCGTCTGGACACAGGCGATTGATTCTCAAGGAAACCCAAGACCCTCGCCGGTCTCTGGACGTCGGCCAGGCGAGACTGGGGCTTTCCAACCTCAAGCTCCTCCCGAGTTTGGGGGGACGCGGGGAGATGTCGCCGTCGGTTGGGCCCTTGCGGGAGCTGGAGGCCTGGACCATGATCAGATTCACGATGTACAGGTCATCTACGCCGAACATGGTCACGATGAACGGGTATTCCGCGGACACCACCAGCAACAGCCATCGGCTCTGCGTGGTGCGATGTCGGGGAAAGGCATAGTCAGCACAGGCGAAATGGCAGCCATAGACGAGGACGTGTGCATTGCCAACGCACCGACTCCAGACCATCAGGACGACATCCCTATCGAGGCCGGCCTTTTTGGTGGTGGAAGCCTGACGGATCCTATCTTTCAAGACCTTGATCGTAATTCAAGAGCCTATCTTGCACATTGTAAGTAAGAATGAGTATAGTATTATCTTTATCAGTTTGCCCCAGTGCCCCCCATGGCCATTGCAATATCCTTCAACTGCCATTTCGATGGCCTCTTATCACCGTCTTTCCCCTACGACGCCTTTGTGTATCATGTAATACTCTGACGCGTCACATCCCCTCATCTCTCATGGCACACAAGCCTCCGTTCTGTTCAGCCTGACTCCACGGGGACCTGGTTCGAGGCGACGCTAATGTAACCAAACCACCAGTCAACGAACGTGTTTGTCGAGACTTGGTGGCAAGAGACTCTCCCAGCAGCAATCCGTTCCGAGAACTTATCCCTCTGACCAATAGGCATCCGCTGCTCCTTCAAGTACTCATCGCAACGTCCGCCATCCACTGGTGTAATTTGTCTCGGCCCACCATTTCAGTTCCAACGAGTTTGACTAATCCAGGCGACTATCTTGCCCGGTTACGGTTGCGAGATTCTTCATCTAGGCAAGCACTCATACATGCTTTGACGGCCAAGGAGAAAGCCATAGCCCACCTTCGCCAAGTCATGGGTTCCTTGGATCTAGCTGGCAGCGAGGTGGCTCTAGCCGCTATGCATTTCTTTGTCAAGTTTGACTTGATTGACTTTGAACAAAGAGTTGTGGTTAAAAAAGAAGAAGAAGAGGAAGTTGAAAAAATTCAAGGTTGGCGGACCCATCTGGAAGCAGCAAGCATCATCTTGGAATTGTTGCCATCGGATTCCTCAAGACATGCTTCAAGCCGAATGTTGCGTGATTGTGTCATTGCCGATTGCTTCATGTAAGTATTCAACACTGCGCGTCCAAAGAAAGTATGGACTCTCCAATCTTTTTCTGGAAAAAAAGAAAAGAAAAGAAAAAAAAAGCTAAGACGCCCGTACTTGTCACAGATATCACATTCTTGGCTCGACTCTGGTAGAGACGGCAATGGCCTCACGCATAGCGCGATATGCATTCGAGTTGTTGCACGTAATGAAACGAGTAGAGGTGAACAGTTATCTCTCGTGTCCGCCAGAGATTCTCAAAATCATCCTCTCCGCGTCCCAACTTTCATGCCAGGGCCCTTACACTGACTTTCACCTGGAGGCCGCAGAAGAAGCACTCGCACTCATTGATGAGGCGCTTGCATTTGACATTAACGCATGGGCGGACCAGCTTCGACAGCTGCCAAACGTGACTGATATCAAAAGTCGATTCCATGTCGCCTCAGCACACCGTTCGGCAGTGTGTCTGTATATCCTCCAGGCATTGCCGGTAGTGCGCGTCGTTTGCCCCGTCGACGCCAACTTCCTCGTGAGCGACATCCTCAGCAACCTCGCCCAGATTGATGACGAAGACCCGTACTTCAAGGCCACCTCGTGGCCAACGTTCATCGCAGGTGCGGAGACGCGAGATGTAGGAAACAGAGACTGGACCTTGAGGCGTATGTTTGCCATCTGGCAGACTTGCCCATGGGGCTACATCTTCGCAGCCATCAGGATGTTAAAGCACGCTTGGCAAATGCAGGATACGAACCCTGAATCTAACGTAAATTGGCTCCAAGAGCTCAAAAAAGATGGCTATTTAATTGTGTAGAACAGAGCTGTCACGAAGCCAAGTGCGACGGCTATTTCCTGGGTAGTAGTATGATGACGGCCACAGCTCCATTGCCATGACCAGATGGCCCATTTCTTGTTTTGTTTTTTTGTTTTGTCGTCTTTTCTAGATATTTTTTTTCGTTTCCTTTCTTGGTTCCCCAATTCATGTCCGTTCAGGCATGTCCATCTCACAAGTTTCCTGTTACAATTTCTCCCCGGTCCGTGGCGGTCCCATTTTACGAACATTGACGAGGACAAGAGTGTGCTAGCAAACTAAGGGGGTTAGTGACAATTTAGCAGCATGTATAGCGTTTCACTGAGCATGGTAATTTATTCAATCACATCATAATGCATACCTCTAATGGGCCGTTTGTGGTGTGGTGAGGTGTATCGTGCCACGTTTCACGTACTTGATAATAGTCGAATCTCCCTCTCTCCTACCTAGATCCGTCGAGAAACTAGTCGCTTCCATCTTCTTATGCAAAGCCACCCCGATAGACCCCGTTCCGGGCGCTATTCCCGGAATCCATTTCGCACCCGAACATGGCCTACTTCTGTGGCGGTGTTTGTCGCACAATTTTGCAAACCATGGGGGGCAAGCTGTTTCAGCGGGAGATGTTCAGAACAGCGTGGATCCCTCCTGAGAACTGATCTCCCCCTGCTGCGTAAATCATGGTGCGCGGCTATGGTTTGAGGCGTGCTTTGTGTCAGACCAGCGGCTCCAGAGGTAGGCGTCGACTAGTGTATTTTTTGGCCTGGAGTTTCATGGATATTGACGGACGTTTTGTTTTTTTCCCTTCCTTTTCTTTTCTTTTTTTAGGCAGTGGCTTTGCATACGAATTTTACGCCTTGACTTGCAGACTAGAAAAAAAGGGTCTCGATGTTACTTATGTAGCGGCATTTGGCTCGCAGCGGTGGTAGAGACAAGTAACGACTTGCACAATTACCAGGGGCTCCTTCCCTTTTTGGTAGTGCAGCTTGTGGCAATTGCACGTCAAGCCCTCAATATTCTGGTTGCGCGATTCCCCTCTATTCAAGACTGCACCATTCTCTACTTTCTGTAAACTTTGTTGCTTGTTGGCGTGCAGACTGGCCTCAACGTGCGTGCGCAACTGCCTCCATTGTACGGAGTACTCCAGACGTATTCTCGGTACTTGGAGGCGAATGAATGGCTTTGGGAGAGCTGCAATACCAACCCGGGACGATGCAGCATAAATTCCCCGCTGTCAAAGCGTGTAGGGCTGGCAAGGAAAACCCGAGGACGTCGACTGTCAGATAATGCGACATGAGGATAAGAATTTTGTAGACCAAGGCGGGCAGGGCAAGGTTGCAATGGTCGGAGCGACGCCCCGGCTCAGTGTCGGAGGATCGTGGGCCTCGAGTGTGCGAGGGAGAACACGGCGTCGTGCAGTTTCGCCCATGGCAAGCTTCCATGAGCACAGCTCCGTGGAAAACACAGTCGCTGGGCGCGAAAGGCGGCCAGTCGCAGCCGCTCGCAACATCTCCCAAGCCTGGAAGATTCCATTCGGAGTCTGCCACGGCCGAAACAACCCGGGGGCAAGACCTCTCCATACGGAGGTCGACAGCCGGGCGACATGAGGCAAAGCGATCCCCATCGAATGGCAACCAGTTCGTCAACGTTGCCTGCATAGTGTGGTTTTGGATCTGCTTCAACAAACAGGTTCTCACCCCGTGAGGATTCTCGCCGATCATCTGCAGTCGGGATCCCGGGGGTGGCTGGTTTCCTAGCGCACAGTCATTTTCTCTCACAGACACTTGTCACAAGCTTGCGGCTCAACGGAAATAATGGAGGGTTGCGTTCGCCTGCCAGACATTAGCTTACTGGTAACATGTCAAGGCCTGGGCCAAAGTAACATTAACTCGGGCGGTCACGAGAAGATCCCCGGCCGGCAAGCTCCGAAACCTCCAGCCCAGATATCTCCAAGACACACCATCTCTGCGTTTCAGGCTACTATTCCAAAACTCTGCCCTAGCCGTGTCGAAAGAGCGGCTCAAGCGCAGAAGGGAAGCAATGAAACCCTAACCATATCGTGCTATACAGGACTGAAGCTTTCAAGCCTGATGTCATCAATGCCTTGCGAGCATGAGGTTCCGAATATTTCACCACCACGTTCAAGTATATAACACACCGCTCCTCCACCCATCTGGATATACCGTTCCTCATCTGGAAATCAAAAACTCGCAAGCATCTTTCTTTTCTTCACATTTCTAGCCCTCTATTTTGGTTGGTGCTTTTGCCCTGGTGGCTCTTCTTTTTGTAAACCTAGCCTTCACTGTCTAAAAACGGTCCGAGACCAACTTACAAAACCCCCTACCTTATCCATCAATATGCGTTGCGCTCTTGTTTCCGCGGCTCTTGCAGCTACTGCTTCTGCCCATGGACTGGTCACCAGGATCCAGGGCGCTAATGGTGTCATGATGCCCGGTCTATCTGGTATGTCCGCACTCCACTTACATACATTGTATATCCATGGCAAAATGACCAACCCAGAAATACAGTTGCCGATGGCACTCCCCGTGACTGCTCCAGCAATGGCTGTGGCTCACAGGCCGATACGGCCATCATCAGACAGCGAGACATCCGAAGCGGCAGTGCCAGTCCCCTCGGACGAACACAAGGCAATGGCCCTATCGATGCCGACGTCATGGTCAGCAGCTTCATGGGCGGTGCCGACGCCGCCAAGGTCCCTTCTAACAATGGAGCATCCGGTGCTACCGGCCAGGAAGATGACCTATCTGAACTCCAAAAGCAGCGTCAGCAGCGCCGGGAGGAAGAAAAGCGACAGCTCGGCCAGCTCTTGGGCGGAGGCGGCAAGGCCAACGGCGGAGGCGGCCTTCTAGGTGGTTTGCTCGGTGGTGCCGGTGGCGGCGCCGGCGCCGGCAAGAAGAACAATGCTGCTCCCGAGAGCATGGTTGCTGATACGGCTGGCGAGGGATCTTCCAAGGGTCTCCCTACTGCTGATGAGAACGGCGAAGTGACCATGGTATTCCGACAGGTACGCATACTCACTCTGAATCTTTCCCAGACCCGCTTCTGCTCAACCACAAACACGACCTAACTCAACTCATCACTGACACAAATGTAGATCAACCAAGACGGAGCCGGTCCCCTCAGTGCCTCCATAGATGCCACGTCTGGTGGCAAGGATGCCAGCGCCTTCCAAAACGCCGAAGTCACCCAGAACGTCCCCGGCCTTGGAGTCGGCGGTCTCTCCCTCGCCACTAACACCGACTTCCCTCTCAAGGTCAAGATGCCCCAGGGCATGACCTGCGAAGGCAAAGTCGGCGGTGCTGACAACGTCTGTATCGTTCGTGTTCAGAACAGCGCCGCTGCCGGCCCCTTTGGTGGCTCTGCCGCCTTCACCCAGACCAAGGCTGCTCGTGCGCGAGCCATTGCTTACCGCCTTAAGAAGCGTATGGAAATCAGCCGTGATTAAAATGTGCCTTCTTTGCCTTGGGTCGAACCGTACAAAAGCCGTGCCGTACATTGGCCACTCCGTCCCAACACAAATGCAAGGTCATGCGCTCAGAAGAATATCACATCTTTCTCTTGTTAATTAATCGTCGACGGGGTTTCTGCAATTGCTGAAACGCGGATGCTCTTAATATCAAACACGTGCTTTTGTCCTTAACTCCGAGTTCCTAGCCTATTCAAAACTGTGAACCTATGTTGCACATTGGCCCAGTGAAATGCAACACCACCCTCCGCTTTAGGCACATATTCCGCAGATTGGTTGGTCACGGTGCGTCAAGGTTGCGCATGGAATAGACTCCATCGAGGCTGCAACGTAGAAATTACGCATATCAAGAGCGTATATATCATCATAGGCTTAAAGTACCCGGCGTACTCGGCAAGGGTCAGAACTTCCTTCTTGAAACACACATCCATGGCCCACCTGTTATTTGGAAGTGTCATGGCATCGAAATTTCACCACCACGCAACTGAGAAACTCAGGATTACACAAATGAGAAAGAAGAGTGAACACGTGCAACAAAAGATGAAAACTCCGCATCATGCACAGTTAGTCGTTGTCGTCATTAAAACAAAGGCGTTGGGGTGCCAATGTTGCTAATAAGGCTAGCCAGAATCCTGGGGGAAAATATCTTTTTTTTCCTGTGATACTTATAGAAGGAAGATCACCACCGACGGCTAGAAATGTCAGTAAATTGGCTCTCATGAATAATTAGGCCCACACCAGTTACGTACCTGTAAGCAGAGTTCGTAGTTACTGGCCGACGCTTTGGTTTGAATCTATCTTGGTGTTCCGGGCGTTGACGTGTGCTTGATTTCTCAGAAGACCTTTGTTTGACAGGTCTTCCTAAAAGCTCCGCTTCCAAGGAATTCAAGTCTGAGGATTGACTAGACTGTGAGGAGGCACGTGAAGCGGTAGATCCACGTCTCTTGGCCCCAGCGCGGTCCCTCTCGGCTTGCTGTCTTCGGTCAACTTCTCTCGGCACGTCAATAGTGTCCCAAATACATTCTTCCTCTTCATCAGATTTAGACGTCTTGGCTTCGTCTCTAGGAGAAGCGTCCGTCCTTGGCCGCTTAGGTTGTCGCTCATGAAGATTAGAGTCGTGGTCGTGAGAGTGCTTGATGCTGCCTCCACGATTGTCTGACAAGGACCGCCTTTCTGAGCCATCTGACACCTCACTTCGGGCCTGAGAATTATTCAACTTGGGGCTGCTACTCCTAACGACCTTTTCAACTCCAACGCTCGAACCTAGGCCATTAGCAGCAAAAGGCGCATTGGTTTTCTTTGCCACAGATTCGTTGTTATCACGGTTGCGAGGGACGTTTTCGGAAAAAGACCTTCGATGTGTTTGATCCTTCGAGGCTCGTCTTCCATTATTGGGACCCTTGGGACCTGCAACCTGTTGATCGGGTGATCCCGCGTGAGAGTTATGATTCTTTGAGCCGGAATTGCCATGATGCCGTTGGCCTTTCCGTGAGCCACTCGATCGTCGGTTCTCTGGGGAGTGGTTGGGATGGCCATGCTGATGGGAGCCAGTGTTCTGGTAGCGCTGATTATGATGATCGTTGGATTGTCGCCTGTCTCTGCCCTTGTGGCGGTCATTTTTGCGCTTGTTCCTGTGCTCATGTTGGTGATTGGATTGGTCATGGCTCTTGGGTGGTTTAGGTGGGAGTGGATGAGATGTCACTCCTACAGGTGGCTTCGGAGGTAGGCTAGGTGGTTTGGCAAGTCCAGAGGTTTGCCTAGATCCTGATCGGTTCTGAGGCGCAGTTGCATTCATAGGCGGCGACGATTTCGGCGGAGGGGGTGATCGCGAAAAAGTTTGGTTATGGGGAGATGCCCTATTTTCATGTCCATCTCTGTTGACAAGGGAATGACCACCAGGAGGAGGTCCAAGAGCAGGTGGAGGACCCACATAGCCGGGAGGGCCAAAATGAGGTCCGCCATGAGGAGGTGGAGGCTGATACGGAGGATGAGGATGATGGTGAGGCGGAGGAGGGTGTGAGTATCCATAAGCAGAAGGTGGAAAACTACCACTATATGCAGGCGGCGGCGGAGGCGGAGGTGGAGGCGGAGGAGCATAAGTTTGGTACGGCGGCGCTTGGCCCGGATACGATGCTGGAGGATGAGGATGGTGATGATGTCCTGGCGGCGGCGGCGGCATCTGGTTCATGACTTGGCCAAAGGACGGTGGAGGAGGTGGTGGCGGCGGAGGACCATATTTGGTGATGATAGGTCCTTTTGATCGTTTGTTAGAACCAGGGCCTTGTCCTTTGGGATGGGTTTGATTCGGGATGGATGAGTTTCTCCATGCTGCAAGGCCTCTGTGATTGTGGTTAGACTGTTGTCATATATAAACGGTTCTACTAGTAGCTAGATTCAGATACAGCCCATTGAGTGACACTTACGCAGGCGTTTCTCTGGTAGGTTCGGGACAAGCAACAGCCCAATGGCCTACAGTCCCGCAGTTGTAGCATTGGGGCTCATCGGGCTGGCCATGTTGGCCAGGAGCTGAAGTCGACATTGCAGATCATCCACGGCGAAACGCGGGAGCTGTCGACCAAGAGGTCCAGGGTTGATTAAGGCGCAAGTGCTCTGCGCGGAGCACAAGCAAGAGTGAAACGAGAGGGATCTACCCAGCTTCCGGACAGTCGGAATAAGGTGAAGCAGTGAGTTTCAGCTGAAGCAATGTCGCGGCGCAGGTGCGGTTGGTTAAAAAGCAAGCGTTGGCTGACCAGTCGACGTCTCAAATCTCAATGAGTAGCAGGCGGGCTATTGTCGTCGCGACGGATGAGATCAATGTTGACAGGCTGGCTGAATTAGCGACGACAGCGTCAAGGTTTCACAAATCCCCTCCCCCAGGCCTCATGGGACTCCGTGAGAGGGGCCACATGAAACCGAATAAACAAGTGGTGATGGGATTGTGGTGATTTGGCAATGAGATGCGCAGCTTCGGTAGCTAAGAGACGGCTTGAAGCTGAAGGTGCTAGAAGATGAGTACCACGTGAGACAGCGCACGGGCCAAGGAGGTTACTCGCCGTGTCGCCCGAATCCAGGCTGGCGATTCGGAGCAGAGTGGTCGGCCAGCCCGCTCTAATAGCAGGCCTACTGAGTAAAGTACGTAAGTAGGTACTCTTGATTACAGGTATATGCATCTATTTCAGTTAAATGGCTTGTACTCCGTACTGAAGTTTGGCTTCACCAGCCCTAGAAGCACTTGAGCCGGACCTTACCCGGTACTCTGTACAGAGCAGCACTTGCTAGAAATTTGCACAAAATCATACACAACTACTAACAAGTTGTGCATTGAACTCGGCACAAAGCCGGCCACACTTTTACACGTTCCTACCAGACACCAAGTAGATATGTCAATATATGTACATTCAATATTAAGCGCTCAATGCTTGATATGCCCTACAGACGGGTTATGAATGTCCCTCATCTCCGCCACCATTAACCACTAACCAGCGGCCACTACAGACCATCTCCACGCATATGGTAGTCAAAATCCAAAAGTGGGTCTCTCAACTCCAGTCTGGAGGTTTCCTGTCCACCTTGCCAATTTCTCGGGCGCCAGGCCAAAGCATCCAGAGCTTTCCGGCACAAATGCTCGCATCTACTTGATCTGCTCAGTTCCAAATCCATCCAACGCTCCAGAAAAACCCACAGAGAGCGCCTTTCGGTCCTGATGACTGTATAAGGCCTGTCTGCGTTCCCCTGCCAGAGGAGGCTCCTCTGCCGGCGTTGAGCTCCTAGGCAATCCCGATCATGTTGGGTCATACAGCCAGCGCAACTCCAGATATTTCCTCTGCCCGGAGCAGATATCGACACGACTACACCTGATGCAGCCCTGCGTATGCGATATTCTGCCACCGACATATTTACTCGACAAGCCCCTGACCGGGTGCATAGCATCGGATATCAAACATGCCGAGCTTACCAGGTTCGCAAAAATCACCGCCTGCTGGCTCATGCCTCGAATTCCTTGCCCCGGGTCTAACCATCAATAGCGTCCGTCGACTTGGACGAGTGCATCTCGCGCCTCTACAAAAAGGAACTCCTGGCAGAGTCGGTCATCGAAGCAATATGCGCCAAGACGAAAGAACTACTTATGCGCGAGAGCAATGTGGTCCACGTGCGGGCTCCCGTCACCGTAGTAGGCGACATTCACGGCCAGTTCTTCGACCTGATCGAGATATTCAAAATAGGGGGCTTCTGCCCTGATACGAATTATCTCTTTCTAGGTATTTTCTCACGCCCTTGCGCCCTTGCGCCATTGCGAACGCACAGACAAAGATTCGGTGGCAGGCCTTGCTGACATACTTGCTCCGGGGCAGGCGACTATGTCGACCGCGGCATGTTCAGCGTAGAGACGATTTCTCTGCTTGTTTGCTTAAAATTACGATACCCCAACCGTGTGCATTTGATACGCGGCAACCATGAATCGCGAGGCGTCACCCAGTCATACGGTTTTTATACTGAGTGTTCTAGGAAATACGGAAATGCCAACGTGTGGCATTATTTTACCGACATGTTTGATTTCTTGACTCTGAGTGTTGTCATTGACAATCAGATATTCTGCGTACACGGTGGTATGCTTCAAATTCAGTTATCCTTCCTTCATGTCCGCCCCCGCCGGGCACTTTTGTGCTGACAAGTAACAGGCCTGTCGCCATCAATCCATTCCATTGATCAAATCAAAATCATAGATCGCTTCCGTGAGATCCCCCACGAAGGTCCCATGGCGGATCTAGTATGGTCGGACCCGGACCCCGAACGAGACGAATTCTCCCTCTCACCCCGCGGAGCCGGCTATACTTTTGGGGGCCAGGTAGTCAAGAAGTTCCTGGCCGTGAACAACATGTCTCATATCCTGCGGGCACATCAACTCTGCCAGGAAGGTTTCCAAGTGTTATACGACGACAGGCTTAGCACCGTGTGGAGTGCCCCAAACTACTGCTATAGATGTGGTAATATGGCTAGTGTGCTGGAGGTGAGCGACAACGGAGAGAGGTTCTTCAACGTCTTTGCGGCGGCACCTGAGAACGACCAGCACAAAGACATACATCCGGGAAATGAAAAGGCCGCTGATGGTAATGCACTGCCGGATTATTTTTTGTAGTTCGGGTGCATCATGTACAGGCTAGCACTGTCTTGGCATTCTTGGTGTTACATATCATTTTAGCAAATAGATAGAATTGCATAACCATCTGCAATGGTATGAAAAGCGATCGGTATGAAATTCTTACCAAAGTCTTGTGCGAGTTTTCTTTTTAAAGAAAAAAAAAAAATTTCGGGTCTTGATATTTTGTTCTGGTAATATACGAATATGAAAGCGATTGGCTTTCTATTCACTAGAAATATAAATGTAGCCTTCCAGGTATTTTCGTTCCCTCGTTACGCTTAACAAACATGTGATGCCAAATCCACCCCCGAACACAGGCCATGACGTTACCAGTCCTTGGCAATGTCAAAGCTCCACTCGAACTCAAGATGCTTCTTCTTGTCGTCATCAACGAAGCTAGAAAAAGTATTGTAGTGACCACGGGCGAGCATTCCAGAGGGAGCCTCCTCCTCCTGGACTACAGACATGCGAGGTCAGCATCGATGTTGCCAGAAGTTGGGCGGGTGGTTGGCCACATGACTTACACTTCTTGGTGTACGTGGGCTGGTTTTCAGTATTGGGGGCATAACTTCCCTATTTAACAGTCAGCAGCCGAGTTCCACAGACACCGAAGCATGTAAATTCTCCTTACAATCATCTCCGAGTCCTTGGAGACCTTGATACCCTTGCGCTTGACGACCTGAACGTAGTGCAGACCACTCAATATCTCATGCTGGACCTTGAACTCGGCGCTCATGGTGAACTTGGAGCCTTCCTTGATTTTGAAGGGCTTGTCCTTGAGGCTCTTCTCGCTACCTGGCGTGGACAGGTCAATCGTGACGGGGTCGCGGCCAGGAGAGTCGAGGGTCAGAGCAAGGATGATGCAGACTCGGGGATCGTTGGGGTCGGAAATATCTTTGCCGCCGCCCAAGCCGAGGGACTTCTTGTACCTCTGGAGAGATTCATCACCGGCATCTAGCAAGAAGAATGTGTTAGCCCTACGAACTTGCTGCAACATGAGTCGGATACGGTAATTCTCGACGCGGGTTCCAATGTGGATTGCTCAACAAAGGTAGATGAGCCGTCCAACGTATCCGTTGAAAGAATATAAAGACAAAAAAAAAAAAAAAAAAAAAGAAAAAAAAAAAAAAAAAAAAAAAAAGAAAAAAAAAAAAAAAAAAAAAAAAAGAAGAAAAGAAAAAAAGAAAACACCGAGTTAACGTACCCATCTGCTCGTACTGAGCTAAGCTCTGCTTGGGCTGGGAGAGCTTGTAGCCCTGAGTCTCCTCGGGCATGGAATCTTCTTCGTGGGACGCCATCTTGTCTAAAGGTGGTGGGGGGTTTCGATCCAAAATGCCAACGGTGGGTGAGATGGTTGAATGGGGAGATTTCTATCCCAATGATGATATGTATGCTAAAATGCCGGTTGCTGAGGATGAAGGAAGGGGAACACGCAGAAAAAGCCCACCTGGTCTAATGGCAATGGAAACATAAACGAGTTGAAGGGGAAAGGAAACGGACAAGAAGACCAGGGCCGGCCAGGGAGTTTGTAGAGGCGATTGCGGTGACAGTGGAGGGGCAGCCTACGCCTCGATGGTGGGGTTCAGGCTGGGGCACGGGCTTGATTGGACACGGGCTTAGCGGGGTGATTTCGGACGGAGTACAGGGCTGTCAAACAGTTCGGATAGGGGAGAACGCCAGGGGTAATTGTGCTCGTGGTTGTTTTGTTGCCGTGGCGGTTTTCAGTCGCCTTTGGTGCCGTGCAAGTGTGGTGGTTGATGTGTGCTAAGTACCTGGTACCTACGGTCTGGTATGCTTGTGTGCATTGCATCATCGCATGTTCCCTGGAATGCGACCAGAAGCGAGTGTTACCAGCGCCGGAGCCCAAGGCACGGCTTCCGGGGCTATGATTGCCACTTGAGGCACTGGCGGGTAACATTGAAGTCCGAACTCAAAAATAAGTTACCAGTCGTAATATCCGGGACCTAAATATGCAATTGCACTTGGCCTGGCGGTGTGAGACTCGGCCCAAGCAAGCATTCAATTTGCTCTTTGGGCGAACCAGCGTGGACACCATTCTGAGCGAAACTCGAAGCAAACCACCGAGCACAATACAACGGTCAATGGCCTGAAATCAGGGTCAATAGCCTTTGGCCTTCCTCCCTGCCGCATCGAGATTGGCATTATCTCGGAGGATTAATACGGCAGCAGACGTGTATAATTAGCAATGGAAGCCGGCCTATACTTGTCTCGGCCATCAAGCCTCAGCCGCACCAACTCACCACCTATGCAACAGGGCATTTTGGCCTGGCGGCATGATCTTCCATTTCTGGCTCACAGCCTCAAACCTCGACCGAGCGGATCATGGCGGATCATGGCCGACGTTCCCAGGCGCGGGCGCAGCCTGTCGACGATGTAGACGGGCTCGGCGCGCAACTCGCCCAGATGATCGTCCCGACCCTCACTGCCCAAAACTCATGTCAAGTCCACGAACAGTGCGACAGCAGTTGTCCTAATCGCATTGGCGTCCGGCGCTACCTCCTAATGCCCAACGGTGAGCGGCGCCATGAAACGGACGAAAGGGCCAGCTTGGGCGAACAACTCGGTGCCGCGAGAGGCAACGACGATGGACAGCCGCCTAGACAGCAGCCCTTCACTATTCATCCCGACACGCCGAGATTCGTATATACCAAACTCTCATCGCCACATGGCATGATTCGGCTGGTGAAATTGAGGAGTGCTTATTTCAGAAAAGACCCCGTCGACTGTGAACTGCTCACTTTTGCCATGGACGACTTGCCGCCGTACAGGGAGGGCCCTTTCGTACTGTTGGGGTGCGGCAGCAGATGTGTGCAAAATGATATGCAATGGGCGCTTATTCTGTGCACGGCCCAGCTTAGAACGCGCCTTCAAGAGGCTGCGAGCTGGATTCAGTTCCGGCCAAACAGAGGGGTATATCTGGGCTGACGCTTTGTGCATTAACCAGGGGGATCTGGAAGAGAAGGGTGCTCAGATCCAGCTCATGGAGCGGATTTATTCATACGCCTCTACGGTTTACGTTGATCTCGGAGACACAGATGGCCGTGTTGTTTCGGGGGGGTTTAATCTGTCGGCAACCATCCAGGCAGCCTCGGGAATGGGCAGTCCCGAAGCCTTGATCCCAGTCGGCCGAGATACACCACATCCACTATTATACAAGACCGTGTTTCTGGCTCTGCAACAACCTTGGTTTACGAGAACATGGGTCATTCAAGAGGCTGCGTTGGCGAGGAGAGCCGTGTACATGTTCTGCGGGAATGTGCTTTCGCAGCGGCAGTTGGATGATATTTTGAGCCGAGAGGCTATGCGTGCAAATCCAAGGCGTACGCAGGAACTGATGCAACTGGGGAGCAATGATGCGCTCCGCAACTATCTCAACTATGCGAAGCTGCAGCAAATAAAGAATGCTCGAGAGAGAATCGGTTCACTGGAGCTTATGGAACTAACGAGGGACTTTGCTGCTACTGATCCAGCGGATAAGGTGTTTGGGTTGTTAGCGCTCATGAGTGACGAGGATCGGTAAGCCATTGGGCCCTATCCCCAAACCGTTGAAGAGGTGTTTCGACGTTTCGCAGCTCTTCAAGTCCGACGGGGATTCGCCATCAAAATGCTCGACAGTGCAGGTCTCCAACGAAGAAACAACTCTGAACGAAGGCTTCCATCCTGAATCCCCGACTGGATGGGACAGACGAAGTCGCCGAAACAGATTGCTGGCCTGCGTCCTGTTATGTATGCAGCTTCTGGATTTACAGAGCCCCAAGTTCGCATGGTAGGAGATGAGTCGGGATCTGGAGGTCTCAGTCTTCGTGGCATGATAGTCGACACAATCGATAGTGTTGTCCATGTCCACAGTGCACCAGTAACAGCCGAAGGCGAACCGTCATTCTTGGCGTTCCATGGTGAGTTCCGTCCGGCGTTTGACAGCTACGTGAGCGGGATCAAGGGGAAACCCAGATACATGGACAATGAAGAGGTGTTTGCGCGCTCACTACTAATGGACGATACATATACGGGCCGCAATGCCATCCTGCATAGCAGCCCTATAGAAAACCCGGCCTTGACGTATCGTTCCGCGCACTAGCCGCCTGGCGTGAAGGGCGTAATTATCGTAATGGCATGGGCGCCGGGAAAATGGACGCCGTGCAGACCTTTCAGATGCAGGCGGTTGCGGTGTGTCCTGGCCGTGGGTTTGCGACAACTCGAGGGGAGTATATCGGGTTGGTGCCACAAGCCGCGCGAGAGGGTGATCTGGTAGTGGTGTTTTACGGTGCTACCGTCCCCTATGTTGTGCGGCGAGCAGAGAACGGGTATATATTGGTAGGAGACGCATTCGTACACGGCTTCATGTGTGGTGAGGCGTTGGAGAGGCGGGACTTGGAGTCGGTTGATATTGTCCTTGTTTGAGCTGTATACCATCCAGCTGTGACTGCTGTACGTAGTCTATTCGCAGAGAAGGGCAATCTGTAGGGCCAATCCATACCTACCTGGGTAGATAGGTATTTGAGTGTTTGCGAAGCAACGCTGCTGCGTTGATTTGAGTTGTATTGTAGGCTCAGTCCTAGTCGTGGGTTGCGTAAGAAGGATCCACGAGAACGAATGCGTGCAGGGACCACAAGGACGTACCCGCCCTGCCTCCCCGGCGCGCAGTGGCCCCTATCGTGGCCCCCTCAGTCGTTTTTAATCAGCCCAGCCAGTTCATTGGAAGTGGCGGCGGCTGCGACACCTTTCACGTCTGTTTCGTTTCCCCGGTACGGAGTATATGCAAAGGCGCAGCGGGAAACATCTAACGCGCGCTGCTCAATTTGATTCAACGGTCAGAGCCTCGGTGGCTTTGCCTGCCTTGCCTGCCTGTTGCAGCTTTGAGGGTCTCGTCCCCACTTATTCTGCTTTGGAGTTCTGCTCTCATTTTCAGTTACGCGCAGCCAATAGGCATGGCCCGCGCTAGTGCCTGACCACTCCAGATCGGACAGCCTGTCCACCGATGTTCCCTTGTACTTAGGTACTTGAGCGCTCACATGTGTGTTTTGGTTTGAGAAGTACCAGCCAAGATATCGAAGTACCTCGTTCCTCCACTCCTTTCCTGTCTTTACCTGCAGCACTTGCACAGCTGTTATTTTTGTCCCCCATCACCCCCCAGCGTTTCCTCCCGCATCCACTTCCACTTCATACTTAAGTACCAACTGACCACTTAAGCATTTACCTGCTGATTGACCACCTCGCCGCTGAGGCTGCCCTGGAGCACTGGAGCCTCTCGATCTCCCGTTTCTCGTGCCCGGGCGTATTCTGCGCGACTCGTCTTGCTCTGTCTCTCCCACCCCCGTCCAGAGTTGTCTGCTCTCTCTCTGCACCTGGTCAGTAGGGTGATTATTCCATCAGTATTATCCTGCTCTTACTTCTCGCCACGGAACATTGCCTTTTATTGCATCTCTTTTTTAGGATTGGCCGTTTGTTTATGCTGCGGCCTCACGCGCTTTCGCTTCTCCGGCACTTCGTATGTAACATCACGTATCCGGCTTCGAGACTTGCACGCGCAAAATCCCTGCCTCTACCCACTGTGACAGCGCTGACGCGATTTTTGGACGAATTGCAGATTATCACCAAGGGCCGTTGCGCATAAGTACTGCTCTTTTGGACCTCAGCCCGTTCTTTCCAGAGTAGCAGTCGTTGATGCTCTTGGTTGGCGTCGCGGACGTGACTTCTAGCTACCACCAACGTCTAGCTGTTAAGCAAAATGGCTACTCCCAGCCAGCGAAGCCTTCCCACGCGGCGCAACCCGTTCCTTCTCGAGGACGTTCCTGACTGTATGTTGACCCCCGCCACTGTCTTCATAGTGCGCTCATAGAGACTTATCTATCTACCGTCACTAGACCTCGAGCTTGTTCAGCGCCGTCGGCTTGGTCAGACCAAACTTACCCCTAAGATGGTTGGCGGTGACGAAGCCGAATCTACCGCTCTTGGTGTGTTCGATTACGCGCACCTGCGGGCACCTCTGCCGAAGGGTATCGTTTCCGGAATCTTTAAGTCGAGCCCGACGAGTTACTTCCTCATGCGCCGAAGCTTCGACGGCTACGTTTCCGCCACGGGCATGTTCAAGGCCACGTTTCCCTACGCCGACGCTTCGGATGAGGAAGCCGAGCGCAAGTACATCAAGTCCCTTCCGACTACAAGTCCGGAGGAGACTGCTGGTAACATCTGGATCCCTCCGGAGCAGGCTCTGGCTCTGGCTGAGGAATACTCTATTGGTATTTGGATCCGCGCTTTGCTGGACCCTGCAAAGATTCCTGTCTCCTCATACTCAAACTCCGATTCTCCCCCAAAGAACATTTCTGCGCCACCCAAATTCGATTTAGTAAAGGCCTCGGCAAAGCTTGCACCTCCATCAACGTCTACCCTGGCCAAGAGCTCTCGCAGCCGTCGATCTGCCAGCCCTACCAAGGGTTCGAGACGTGGTCCTGCCTCTCCGCGAAAGCGTAAAACTCAATCCAAAGCCAGCTCGACGGAGCCAGCGGCTGACAAGGCAGAAGTCAATAGCGAGTCCAAGAAAGGAAAACAGGAGGACATTGTCATGAAAACTAGCCAGTTTGAGCCTGCCGTAGTTTTGGAACCCAGGACTGAGGATGCAACCATGAAGATTCGCGTCGATGAGGTTTCAAAGGATGCTGCTGGCCAAGAGACCAAACACATTGTTACAGAGGTTGACGTTCCTCTGCCCATGGCAGGGGAGCCACCTAGTGCTGAAGAAGTCACCAAAATGATGGAAGCAGCCAAGGAGATGGTACAGAAAGACAGGGAAGCGGACGAAAAGCATGCAGAACAACAAAAGAAGTCTGATGACAATAAGGGCACGGACACAACAACCACCACGGTCAAGAAGGGCAAGCGGAAAGCTGGGGACATCTCCATATCTGAAAAGGACGACGAAAAGGCGCACAGTATGGCTGAAGAAGCTAAGGAAGAGCAACCACGAGCAAAGAAAGTTAAGACTGAGGCAGAATTACGGAAAGACAGAGTCAAGAACCGAGCTCTGTTTGGTATTGGCGCCACAGTCGCAGTCGGGTAAGTTGTGATACGAGGCATCGTGTTTGGTAGATTTTACTCATGAATTTTGAAGGTGGCTAACGGCGAACGATAGTGCTCTTGTTCCATGGCTGGTCAACTTCTTGTAAAGGATGCTGTATGGCTTGAGTGTTCAAATTAGTCACGACGCTGCCTTGGGCAAATCTCGGCACTGGAGGCCTAAGGAGTGACCGAAAGTGGCGTAAATTGCGAACTGTTTTTTTTGTCTTTTGCTAATTTCCCCTTTTCTTTGCTCGAAGGGGACGAGAGAAGAGCCATTCCACGTTTGACCGAGATGAGGATACCCCCGGCACATCTCGAGCTTCTGCCCAGTTTTTGGCCTTTGGACATAGGGATTCGCCAAGTCCCAGATTTCGCCATTCTTTCTGTTAGATGCTGGTTCCAGATGAGCTCGGAATTTTCAGGTTAATGGACTTCGTTTTTTACAATCCCCTGCGCCTTTGTTTATTTTTAGGATTTATCTTACCCCCTTCGTTCATTTGGTTGCATTTGGTTGTCTCAAGAGATTGATATTCCCCTTGGACACTACGCCACCTTCCCAACCGTCGTATTCTGGTTGGAAGGTGTTGGGTGAAAGGTGTCTGTGATAAAGCGATAGAAAAGGAGTGAGGCGCGAATGGTGGTAATCTCATGTGTGCGCTCATTGGAGTATTGCGCAGGGCTCGAGACCATTATTGGGGAGGTGCCGGGTCGGGTTTCGCAGGATATGGTGAGAGATATGAAAGCAAGATGGGCCATGGGAAGAGTACTATTGATTGTAATGATTATAAGACATTTCAGACGTCTAAATAGTGGACTCGTGGATTGACGGTGATGCGATTGACTCTCCTCCTGTCCGACTCGGAGCGTATGGAGTCGGGCATGTTGGATAACTACGGCTCAGGAGTGTAAGAGTCTCGTGTGAGAGATCAAATGCCGACATCGGGGGATCGACTGGTTAAAATGAAGCCGTAACCGTCAGTCTTGGGCCGAAGTGGACAAAGTTGATGGGTACATACTTTGTGCATACACCATAGGCAGATTGTACTGTACCAAATACTACGGAGTAGTAGTATTTCTTCTCTCTCCCTCCGCAAGCCCCTCCTCCGGTTTTCCCCACACAAATCAACCAGACTTTGATGAACAAAGTCTCACTCACCCACAAAATGCCCCCATCCTTGATCCCTTGTGCCCCATCCTCCCGCAAAAATGGCTGGCAGCGGCAATGGCCGGCTTTCTCGGTACAGGCATACGCAGCCCGAGAACTACGCTTTCGGTTTGATGCAACCCGTTTGGCCGTGCCACCGCGTGCCACATTCTTCTACCTCACTGGGCTTTCCTTCTTCCCTTTCCCTCTCCGATGTTTGGCCATGGGGTTGCGATTGAAGAGCAAGTTTCCAAGCATTGTCTCTTGATAACCTCCCAGAATGAGACTTGTTGGTGCCCGCCTAGGCGGTCTCGTGCAAAGGAGGGGGTTTGCGTCGACTGCCAGGCGGCTGGATCATTATGCCTTTGTTGGTCTCGGCCAGATGGTAAGTCTTGATACCGTACCTCTAACTGCCCTGGCCTAGAGACCCAATTGGTTGTGAGAGTTGTTAATGGACAAGTTGCTGACATGGTCGCCTTTGCAGGGCTACCAAATGGCCAAGAATCTCCAGTCGAAGCTCAAGTCCACTGATAAGGTTTCGGTCTTCGACATTAACCCGCAAGCTATGAAGAGCCTGGAAAGTGATATGAAGGCTGCTTCTGGTGGCGCAAAGGTTGAGCTTGCCCCCAGCGCATGGGCAGCGTCAAAGGAGGCAGTAAGTTTATGATCTTGGGTGGATTGTGTTTTATTGAATTCGTCGGGTATACGGAATACCAATTCTTCCACACGTCCCGTTCCACACGGTGAGATAAAGTGTTTCTACACCTTTTTTCTATCCCGGTCGAGGGTGAGATGAGATGTAGACGGTTGTACAGCGCCTTGTTCGTCAGAACTGCGTCAACAGAGCCCTGCAACACAAAGTCGGACCAAGGCGGTGGTTAGGCGAGGGTTTATGATACAGTGACCATCAATCACGAAAAAACCCAGACACGAACATGGCTAATACAACTCATTGCTGTAGGACACAGTCATTACTGTTCTCCCCGAGCCCCAACACGTCCAAGGCGTCTACAAATCGATTCTGACGGGTACATTACCGCAGAAGGACCGCGTCTTCATCGACTGCTCGACAATTGACCCCTCGACGTCCCGCGAGGTGGCCAGGTCGGTTTCTGATGCCGGGCAGGGCACCTTTGTCGACGCGCCCATGTCGGGAGGAGTGGTCGGCGCCACGGCCGGCACGCTGACCTTCATGCTCGGAGCCAAGGCTGAGATGGTCCCCCGTGTCGAGCCCACGCTGCTGCACATGGGCAAGAAAGTGCTTCACTGCGGTGAACAGGGCGCGGGCCTATCCGCCAAGCTCGCCAACAACTACCTTCTCGCTCTCAACAACATTGCCACGGCAGAGGCCATGAACCTGGGGATGAAGTGGGGTCTGGATCCCAAGAAGCTTGCGGGCGTCATCAATGTCAGCACTGGCCGCTGCTGGCCAAGTGAGGTCAACAACCCCGTAAAGGGCGTGGTTGAGACGGCGCCGGCGGGACGCGACTATAGCGGTGGATTCGGCATCTCTTTGATGAAGAAGGATCTGCGGCTGGCGATGGTAGCTGCCAAGGAGGCCGGGGCCAAGATGGCTCTAGCCGACACTGCGTTTGGCGTGTACGAGGACGCGGAGAAGCGGGAAGAGTGCAAGGGACGCGACTTTTCGGTGGTGTATAGATATCTCGGGGGCAAGGAGTAAACTTGTCAGCGTCGTTATGAATCATGAGACACTTAAGGCTTCCCCACGTTATGCCAAGCCCGATTGCCAGAACAGGACATGCCGTGTCCAATCTTGAATTTGAGCTGCATCTAATAGTTATCTCCACATGTAAACTAACTACCTCTACCCACATCCACATCAAGGAAAACCCTCGGCCGAGACTCGACATGTCTACCCAATGAAGTCGGCCTGGATGAATCAATTCGCCCGCGCAGCTCCTGATTCGGACGAACGCGAGCGCGCCCGGAGGGATCCTGACAGGCTGCCGCTGTGTGCACGGTCACGGTCAGCCCTTGTCTATCCAATGTTGGGCACAATTCCACTTTCGTGGGATGGATGGTGTTCGGGTCGGCGACGTCCCGGGAAGCCATCCCACTTTTTTGTTAATTGATCGGAGAGATTTTCATTTTGGAAGAGCAATGGAGGCCAGGTGGTGAAGCACGTTCGGCACAGGGGGAGTAGAAGACTCAACCAATTCGACTTCTTCTTCACACTTCCGTCACAAATCATCGCTCAACATCGACAAGTCATCACCTGCACAGCGGACGTAACACGGAATCGAAACCAGACGCCCAATCAATGTCAACCACACTCCGCACTGACAGCGGACTTTTCGCCCCGGATGTTGAGCTCCCCGTCCGCTCTGGCTGCCAACATGCAGTCAGCACGCCCCCTCATCCGTCAACTACCCAACTGGACGCACCAGCGGAGGCTTGAACACCAAACGGGGGCACTGGGAGTGAAATTTTGGAGCAGGGCGCTAAATCCGTGACACGCATATCTGCTTATTCCCGATGGGGTTGCGCTTATATATATATATGTATCCCAGGGTTTCCATCTGGGGACAAGCCCCTTCCATGAACCGCTGTCGTGGCTTGATGACCCGGACCATGACTTTGCTATTCTCGCCTTGACTTCATTCACACTCGTTCGAAATCGAGTAATTGCTGGCGGATCGAGGTCTTGCACCTCCAGGGGATCTGTGACAGATCTGCTGCTAGCTTCTGTTCCCGCCCAAAACACCACGCCTACGAGTTTCTTATACCCCCGTCGCCGAAACGAACAAGCTCAATTACACACAGGACCACATGATCGAAACCTTGTGAAGAGACGACGAGCACCCTTACACAACCGCAAGCCATGTCCAATTCTACCGGGCACCGCGTCAGCATGAACCGGTGCACCGAGGTCTCTGCCCTGTGTCCCGTCGACGAAACCGTCCTGGGATACTACCCGAACCTGGGATCCGGCATCTTCTTCTCCATCGCCTTTGGGATATGTCTGATTGCCGCCTTCTCACTCGGCATGTGGAAGAAGACGTGGACGTACACGGCAGCCATAACGATAGGGCTGATACTAGAAACCGCAGGTATGTATCTCAAACCCCCCCGAGAGATGCCATCCGATATCCCTCTGGTCCGACATGACCACCTTTTCCCTCTCCGGACAGAACAACCACATGGCCAACACACATTCATCGTCCAAACAGGCTACGTCGGGCGCATCCTCCTCCACTACAACCCGTGGAACGAATCCGCCTTTGAGCTGCAAATCTGCGCCATCATCCTCGCGCCCACGTTCGTCTGCGTATCCATCTACCTGACGCTCAAGCACGCCGCGCTGCACCTCAACCCGCGGCTCTCGCGCATCCCGCCGCGCTGGTACCCGCGCATCTTCCTGCCCGCCGACCTCTCGTGCCTCATCGTCCAGGCCATCGGGGGCGGCATCGCCGCCGCCGCAGGCCACACGAAGCCCAGGCTGCAGGAGGACGGCAACCGCGCCATCATCGCCGGCGTCGTCCTGCAGGTCCTCGTCCTCGCCGTCTTTGGCGCCATGGGCACCGACTACTTCGCCAGGGCGGCGCGACACGTGCGCACCGCCGAGGCCACGCCCGCCGAGCTCGCCCTGTGGCGCGACTCCAAGTTTCGCGCGTTTGTGCTCGGCGTGACGGGTGCCTATGTGGCCGTCCTGGTCCGCTGTATATACCGGTACGTTTCGTCGCCCCAGAGCTGTCCTTGGAGGTGCATCACGAACTGATGAACCGGGGGTGCGTGATTTAGTATTGCCGAAATGGCCGGTGGATGGGGCAACAAGATCATGCAGGACGAGCCGAGTTTCCTCGTGCTCGACAGCTCGCTCATCTTGGTCACCGTGTACTTGCTCACGATCTTCCACCCGGGCATCTTCTTTCCTCAGATGGCCAACGGGCACCGCAACAAGAACGGTGCTGCTGCTGCTGCTGCTGTTTCCGACGCGGAGAGCTCCGAGACCAAGGCGAATGACTCCCCTGATTCCCCCAACGAGGGACAAAAGACTGAATCGGGCCATTGAAGCGGTCGACTGTGGAAAAAGGTTGTAACTGAAGACGAACTGGAGTTTGGCAGGAGTCTGGGAAAGAATTAGCATACCCCGAACATACGTTCCTTTCATCTTTTTTTAATTGCTTTGGCATGGATTAGACTTGGTAATTTTGTCTTGGTACATACGTACAGCAGATAGAGGTTTCAAAATTTTAAATATCCCATCACTCTAATCTTTCATGTATTGGTACTGCCTTGCCCCGACATCTCTATTAAGGCTAGTAACAGTTTCTGAACTATTATATGCTAATGCCACTGAGAATGCTACGTGATGAGTTGCCCCCATTGACCATATTGTTATCCCTTGACAAGGCGATCAACCTCGCCATCTTCATCACTCTGCTCTTCCTCTTCCTCTTCCTCTTCTTCCTCCTCCCCCTCTTCTTCTTCCGTCTCTTCCTCCTCGGTTTCCTCTTCTGTTTCCTCCTCAGTTTCTTCACTCTCCTCCTCTGCAAGCCAATCATCCAAAGTCTTGGTGCCTACACCCTCTCCCAAGCCATTCGGCTTATTCGGTGGCGGCCTCGAGGTCACGGCTTGGTCCAACATATGACCTGCCGGCACAGCGCTCTGTTCACCATGTCGGGGAGACGTGCCACCATTGGCATGGTCTCTGAGACGAGCATCGGGTTCTTTGCCCGGCTCGACCCAGTCGGGAAGTGCTTCATACCCCCTCAGACCATGAATGCCGCCGCCGCCAGCCAGGGCTAGCGTCGAGGAGCCCAACAAAAACCCCTTTCTCGACTCTGATGGACTGGGGGCTTGCGGCGCGGGTTTGGGTGCTAAAAGTATCAATGTAGCCAGTTGAGGGACCTCAAGCAGCGCTTTATACATTCTGGCCCGGTCTCGCAATTCGTAAGAGGTGTCATATCTTACAAGTACGAGCAAGTAGTCCCACAGACGGGCGATAGGGTGGGTGTCTGGCTCTTGTTGGGAACTCTCTTCTGTTTCCTTGGTCTTCTCAGTCTCTGCCTTTCTATTCAGAAAATGGAGGTAGACTTTGGCTCCGAGAAGTAAAATCTGTCGCTTGGCAGCTTCAGGCTCATTGACAAAATCTTTCAACAGAATGCGGAGAACATCTGGAGCAATATTGTCTTGGCCGTTCAGACCAGAGAACTCTCCCACCAGCCAAATAATGGAGGCTCTGGCCTGCGGGTCAGACGCCGAATCAAGATTCTTGGCCAGCCGAACGACAGTTCCGACATGGCCTTCAGGATCCTGCTGTATCAAGTGGCGAATGACTGTCAAAGACTCTGCTGTTGAATTTCCGTCTAAACTAGTGGTTTGGCTAAGAAGAAGTTTGAGACATCTTGGAGCCGTCTTGGCGTCGGATTGGGCACATCTCCCAATTGCCCTCACCGCCTCCAGTACCAGAGCCTTGTTAGAGCTCTGAGAAAAGTGTTCCAGCTCCTTCAAGATAAGACTCTTGATGTGGAGCGGACTGTGTGGAAAAATGAGTGTCAACACTTCCAGCTTGAGTTCTCTTACCGGCGCAGGATCAGTAGCCCTAACAAGAAAGTGAGTGGCATATTTGACAAAGTCCTTTGGCCTCTTGAGACAAACTGAAACAATGTTGTATAATGCAAGTTGTTGAATATCCTGTGCCCCCCGCAAAAGTGCAATCAATGGCCCGATAGCGAGCTTGACGTATTCTGGAGTGCCAATTTCAAGGTAGCACCTCGTCACTGAAACAACAACACCTGAATTTCGGCTTTGAAGCAGTGGCTTGATGCTGTTGAGCAACAATAGCAGGTCACTATCGAGGGAAGCCTGCTGCGTCTTCTTGGCATGTGGCGAGTCGGCATAAAAGTCATCCGCATTCGTATCATGATGTGGTGAAGTTGCGGCGGGCTCTTTGACCCTAGGGAAACATTTCCTAGCGTAATAGACCATGAGCCTAAGCATGGCCAGCTGGCTCCACTCGTCCATGTCCACAATCTTCCGCACCAGGCTTCTGTAGTGTGGATGGATCAGATCGATTCTGTCCGGGCAGACCTCCAAGAAAGCAGATACGGCTGCACCAGCTACGAAGTATTGCTTGTCGCTGATGAGAGTCGTGAGATAGCCAATCAGTTCTGGCGACTGACTAGGATCTAAACGATAGCGTTTTGGGATAGAGAGAGCTGCAGCTTTCCGCACATAAGGACTCATGTCGGCGACTCCATGCTTGACAGCAACGAGCACATATGGATTGATTGATTCGGCGCGGATTCCTGACACAGTCTTGAGCGCCAAGGCTCGCATCTGTGGGTTGGGATCGGATTGTGACGACTTTAGCATGATATTGACCGATATTAGAGCCTGGTCAGATTCCTCCTCGGCATGATGGGTGAGGTATATATAGGCTAACTTCTTGATCTCGGTATTCGTCGACGCAACCTGTTTGGCGACAGACTTGAAGAAACCCAGAGTCTCGTGGCCTCGGTACATCATCTGGAGGGACATTTGTTAGTATACAGTCAGAGATGGGTCGCAGGACCTGTCCTACGCACCGATATAACTAGCCGCAGGGCGCCCAGCACATCTTTATCACTCCCGCTTTCAAGATTCTTCTCAATTTCTCTTGGGCTGAGGGACGGAGAGCTCGAGCCGACATTGCGCGTAGCCTGTGCCACGTCGAGGGTAAGGGCTCTTGCTGAGGTGGACTCGATCAGCCATGCGAGAGCACGGAGGGCAGGCGTGAGGAATGCTTACCTGTCCCTAGGAAACTAGACATCCTCGATATGGACTCCATATCGAAGATGTGAGCCAAGCCTCCGCTGCCTCTGCTGCCTGCGGGTTTGTGTTGCGACAGCTGGGGAGGCGTGATGTTGATGATGGACGAAGTCGAATTGGGGCCGCCGACACTGGCGCTGAGTTAGTAGCAGCTAACCAGCCTCTGTAGTACTTACTTAAGTACGTAGCAGCTGCCCGCCACCCCACACTGTCTGCCCCTCCACTAGCTTAGACTCAACCAACTCCTTTCCTTGGATGAGGCTCGAGTCGTGACTTCAAAGATCACCTCATGTTTGAACTCTAACAAGAAAAAGCCATGAAGCTACATCGAAAATTCCCAACAGGGCACTCCAATTTTGCCGAATTTCCTCGTTCTCTAGCTTCCGCTAGAAAATGAGACATGCGCAGCTTGGGCTACTGAAGGCAAAAGACCAAGGCCAGTCACTTCACGACTTCCCAAGACCATGACAAGCGCATGCGGATTACCGCCTTCGCCGCTCCTGAATACAAGTCCAGATTCAACTCACCTGCAGGATACCTCATGATTAGTCCAGATAATACCATTGATCCAGCATTGCACCATGGCGGGATTGCAGCCCACCATCCTCCGTCCCGTCACACCGTCCGAACTCTTCCAGTATCTCATCGCCAATACCACATACCCGACGACGGTGGTCATAGCATGGCCCCGAGATCAGTTTACAAGCGCGCTCGTGGAAGACATCAGACGGCAAGAGTCTCATCTAGCTGACGGGAACGACGAGCCCAGCCACCCACTTCTTCGCGCAACGCTCCTCCAAACAGCCATCTCGCGACACATCAACATCGTGTTCGCACCAACAGTGACGCATCTCCGAGCTCATCTGTCCACATTCTCGGCTTTTAAATCTGGAATACCCGCACCGCCGAGGTCGGACTCCTTACGAGAGCCGCCTGCGCTAATTGTATATGGTCTACTGGACATACACCGAGATGGAATGGAGTGGTCGGCTCAGGGAATAAGTTTATCAACAGCGGCATTCGTCGAGAGCGCATTCAGGAACAAATTCCGCGCAGTAGTGGTTGAAGCGAGACGAAGCAGTGATCAAGAAGAGCTGGAGCAATCTCTGAAGGAAAACGTGCCCGTTCTAACAGGAACGCCGTTGAAAGAAGATGGATCATGGAGTGGGCCGATTGTCCCATTGAGTAGAGTACTAGGCAGTTGGTTCAAGATAGATGCCAGAACAGATGAATAACTTCAATCTGATTCCGTCATTTCATTTTCCTAACCGACACTGGCCTAGTTCGATATGACAACTTGTAAATGCCTCCAACGCCAAGCCGTGGTATCTCATCCATATCCCTTCATATCAGGCACGTTAAAATGCAGAAAATATCAAACCTCAAAAACACTGCTCAACTGATAGACTGCTCCATTTCCGTAATGTATAGCTTAATGTGTGCCTCCATCTTGAGATACTCGTCGTACGCGGCGTGTACCTCATTTTCAATGTTCTCTTTGAGGTCAAGCATCTGTCTCTCATTAGTTTTCTGAAATGGCGTCAAAATATCACCGTACGGCTCACCTTCTTCTCCTTCTGCTCAATCCTGACCCTGCGAATCTCCATCTCTTTACCCTTCTCCGTGTGTTCCTCCGTTAACTTTCGGTGAATTGCGCTTAGTTCATGCATTTTCTCCTTGGCTTCCTGAGCCTTTTGGTGACTTTGCTCGCGTAATTTCTCAGTTCGATCAGCCCACTTGCTTAACTGCCGTCGCAGCAGCGTTTCGGCGCGTTCCACCTCTCTGGCGTTATTTCCTCTTTCAGATAAGGCGTCGCGTTGTTTCGCATTTCTGACCATTTCTTCCTCTTCCTTTGCAAGTTCAGTAGCAATTTCGTCAAGAATCTTGATGCATGACGCAACGTCCGTTGATACCACGGTGAACGAGTCCGTTGATGTCTGAAGTGCACGCGCTCTTCGGTCTAGCGCATCAATGTGCAACTTGTCGTTGTTGAGAATTTCGCGTAGCTCTGTAAGATTATCCTGCAATGCTGACGGGCTCTGTAGCATGTACGGCCGCAGCTTATTGCTTTCTTGCTTTAATGTTAATTTATCTTGTGTTTTCTGCTCCAAAAGACTCGTAAGCTCGCTCTTCTTTGCCTTGGCCTCGTCCAATCTTGCCGCGACTGTCTTCTGATGTCGTTGCAGCTCAAGCAACCGCTTCTTTAGCTCCTCGTTTCTCATTGTCTTTTCACGGACCTGGGCCTCCATGGCCTTGCGATTATGCTTCATGTCTTCAAGTCTCGCCTCGTTTTCCTGGTTTTCTGCATGCAGCGTCTCAATTCTGGTCTTTGTTGACTCGGATTTATTGTAATATTCGTCGATGAGTGTGGTCTGTGACTCGCGGAATCGGACAAAGTTGATGAGGTAGCTGAATATTTTGACCAGGCGTTCATACGTAGGCTTGTACAAGTCGTTGAACGTAAAGTCGGTGATTCCACACTCGTATAGCAGCCGGCGCAGTGATACATAGAATCCCATCAAGTTACGCGTATCGGTGGGCATCACATCAGAGAATTCGCCGCAAACGTCTTCCGCGGCAGCGCGCATCGCCGGCTCGACCGTCTCTCTCGTGGCATTGAGCAGTAACTCTGCGAACCACTCAAAGATTTGTTGCACGTGCGCAGGGTTCGGTTTCTGAAGGTCCGCGACCGTGAAGTGAATGCCAATGTCGGTAATGCAGCCCACGATTTCGCGGTCTGGGAGACGCATAAAGGCATCAGCTTCATCCTCCTTTTTTCGGGACCGGCCCTGCTGTTGATTCGTAGGTATGATGCTCATTCTCGGGTTGTACGCCATGTTGTCGCTTTTTTTTTGTTGCCGAATGTTAAAGCGACAAACTCGGCAGGATTGGGATGCCGTGTTGAGTGGTCGCGTTGCGTTGCCATGGGAAACCGAAAATTGGACGCGTGGGGCAAAATCAACCTCAAACCCCGGATTGTTAGGGTGGATGGGCAAGTGACCTTTGCAACTGTGAAGCTACCTAGGTATCTAGTATTCGTCGTGTTATACATATGCGCAGAAAGAGTATTAGAGAATGGGTACTATTTTTGCCTTCTTTTTTTTATTGAATTTTATTTTGGCACGATACTCATGACATTTTTGGTGGCCGAGAGATTCAGCTCCAACTGCAAACGTACATATATGTAGCTCCTGATTCTTGGAAACCAACCCGCACGCATCCGCGAGCAAGTCTTGTTGAGTCATGAGACGTATCTCGCAGTATCTGTAAAATAAAATACAGCAGTATCTTCGTTCACTTGGTCATAGACCACATGTCTTCTGACAGAGACATAAAGTCTACGTCTAATATTATACATTGTATGGCATGTTGCAGAGGAATTCCTGGCCCCTGATTATGCCCTTAATCCTTAATACACTTCAAATTCCAACCCATTTCTTTCCGGCCCGGTTTATGCTGCAATCTTCTTCAAGGCCTCCAGCAGGGCAGGAGGATTGGCTCCAACCATCTCGTCAAACTTCTTCCCATTTTTGAAGAAGAAAAAAGTAGGCATGGCGCGAACGCCCAGAGCTTGTGTCACAGCCGGCAATTCGTCAACATCGAATTTGACGAAGTGGACTCTGTCCTTGAAGACGGCGTCCTCGGAATGTCTGTAATTGGGATATGAATTAGCAAAGCAGCTTTTTTTTTTTTTTTTTTTTTTTTTTTTTTTTTTTTTTTTTTTTTTTTTTTTTTTTTTTTTTTTTTTTTTTTTTTTTTTTTTTTTTTTTTGAAAAAGTTCGAATACATAAATGGCTAAGCGTAACCAAGATATTTTCAAGATTCTTTATAACTCAAGAGCAAACGCAGCATACTTTTCAAGGATGGGAGCAATTGCCTTGCAAGGGCCGCACCATGTAGCGAAGCAATCAACAATGACTCGGTCGTTTTCAGTTACCGCTTTCTGGAATTCTTCGGCACTAGCGAATGCGGTAACTCGTTAGCTGACAGCTGATTCTGATGTTTGGGTCAAGACTGCCGAGATGCAATACGTTTTGACGTTGTGAACGATTCTCCTGGCCGCTGACAGGTGAAAGGCCCTGGAAGTGACTGGTGGTCGCACCGACGTGACCACGTTAGCCCGCGCCGCCGAGGCCAACTGCCCAATAGAACGGGAGGATAGCATCTGGAAAGATGAGATGAAATGAATTGTGTTGAATCAATGTTGGAACGGCTGGGGGATGAAGCGGTAATGAAATTTCGGACGGTCCGTTCCTCGGGATGCCACCTCATTGGTGTGTGGTGACGACGGGCGGAGTCGTCGCTTTCGAGCCAGCATCAACGCATCTACCGCGCAGTTACTATGTGCGAAGTTGTAGAGTAGCGGAACCGCCGAAAGTACCGTCAACTTTGAGGCTTTTATTACTCCACGGATGCTTCAAGAGCACGCAGGTGCCCTTCACTCCGACCGTCCCATCTCATATGCATACCCTGGCGAGACTAAACGTCTGTCGTGGCCTAAGACAGCGTTACTCTCGGCACAGGATAGAAGTCATTCAGCAATAAAAATTGGTAAGGCACACTCAAGTCGTAGCGAGCTATTCCAATTGACCTATCGAACTCGACCCTATCCGTTACTAATTTCTACATCCAAGTAAGGAAATTCGCCAGTGTCCTCTATGTAGCAGCTACAGAAACACTACACAAGCGAAAAGCTCAAAACACCATTTGAAAAAGCACCATTGGCCCGCCAATATGCAAACGCCCCCTTGAAGAAAAAAAAAAAAAACAAAAAACCACACCAAAACCAGTGTTTCCTCTTTTTGTGCCCTCGTGTTCTGGCAATGAATTACAACAAAAGTACAAAGCACAAGGATCAAGTTCCTCCCGATCAATGAGGCAGCCTAAGCTCTGCTGTGAGGTGGGATCAGGGGACCGTGATGGTGAGTAAATGATAAATGCCCCGGGAAGTTCAAAGGTGATAATAGCAAAACAGAAAAATCGAAGACAAAAGTACGGTAGGCTATCCATGGGTATCTTATGCAGTATGTGTACTCGAAATGACAAGAGACAAGCGCTGTATAGCTAAGGGTCGATATAAACAGGACCTGTGATTCGATCCAGGAGGATTAAGGGGATGAGACAGCGGGCGATTTTGCAACCACAGAGCTTCCTAGCTTTTAGCATCGCAGTAATTCGGATTACCCGTGTCGAAGAGTTTTCCATTCCCGTTCATTTTTATAGTTTTCGCTTTTTTTTTCGAAATGTTTGTAGTTGATCTTTTCGAGTTTTTATAGATGTTTTTCGGTATGTAGTGTTTTTTTTTTTGGGTTTATTGATTTTCAAGTTTTTAGATTTTGGTTGTTGATTGCCATAAATGGGGTTGCCAAACACCGGCGGCAACGCATTCGTACCGACGTGTTGACATGTAGATGATAAAAGAATGTCGAGTGTGCTTCCTTCGAGGAGTACTACACAAAAAGTCATTAGACAAAGGAAATGCTCATATATCCAACGGGTATTGGAAAACTCTTCTTCGGTGTAACTCGAATCGGTAGTGCTTTATTGGGGAGTAGCAGTTTGCTTGATCGCAGTCTCGCGTCACCCTCCCTTATTGCTTATGCTGGACTTCTCGGTATAGAAGTATGGTGTTATCTTCCTCATCCCCTGAACCAACGTTTAACAACCCATGCTGGCTGCGGATGGTGTCTCTGTTGTGGTTATGGAACTGTACGACCTCGGGTTTGGCACCAACGCATCCCCATTTCACATCATCGGTGATCGTAATCGATTCTCCCGCATCACTACTGGGGCGTCCTTCACCTGAGCAACGTCTACTAGCCACTGTGCCTTGACTTCTGTCTGGTGCCAGCCAGGAAAGGTATTCGTCATCTGTGATAGCTAAGTCTTCTCGGGTCGAATTCGTAGGAGACTCTGATGGTGCATTTTCACGACGATGCGCTCTCATCAAGCTGCCTCGCTTCACCGACATCCTCATGCTACCTACACGCCCACTAAGCCACGATCCTTCAGAGTCTATCGAAGCCAGCGAAATGGACACGTGGGGCTCGGCTGATTGCGCGCCTTGAGGTCGTTCTAATGAAGGCGGGGTACCGTGTCGTGAGGGAGGTGTTGGTCTTGAATCCATTTCGGGCGACTTCTCTGCAAGCACAGGGAGCGGTGGATCAGCTTCGGGGGACTGTACTCTGGAATCTGGTGGTGATAGAGGAAATTCCGGTAGATCTTCCCGGAACCT